TAGCGTCACTTTATCACTGCAAGAGACAGAAAAAATGGGAAGGGTGTATAGAGTGGGATGTTTGGTTGACTCGTAGAATGATAAAGATGAAGGGATGATACCAATTGTTATGATAACAATTAAAAAGCAATTCATCTCCATACTGCTCCACAAAATGAGTTAAATATTGGTCAATAACTGAAATTTTCAGCAATTACATTCCTTTATGCTGCATGAAATATGATCAAATACTGTGATGCTCATAAAATCCACCCAGAGAAAAAGACCATAGCAACGGCTACCATTAAGCTACATTTATAATATAAATAGTTTGAAGCCCTGGAGACAAGCAAGCGTAACCAAATTGCAAGAGTTAACTCATTTGTCTTGAATGAACCGAAGCGCGAATGACTTAAGATTGTTCGAAAACAGGAGTTTTGATGTCTGCTTCACAACTTCGTAATCGTTCAACATAGAGAGACAAAAGAGATAAGTAAAGTTGCAGACAAGTCTAGTAAACAAATTCATTGGGTTGATAAGAGTTCAAGAAATATGGAAGAATTAAAAATGAAAATGTGACATATTTGATCTCTCCTACAGTCAAGGCACAAGCTATAAATCAGTTTTCCTTGTCTAACATTCTACCACCTAGCGTTAAAATCATTCATGCGTCGTGACAAATTTGAAAGAAATGGGACTTAGTGGTTGTGGGCCATGAAAATCAACGGCAATCACGCTCTTGCATGTCCATCTACAACGTAGATATCACACAGCAATTCTGTTAAATCTATTTGCTTCAGTTCAAATCGCGCGCATCGAACAAGTCATACTTGGCGCCTCCTTCTTCACAAAAAGAAAATACATTGCTTCTTCTTCACAAAACATATCCTAAAGCGGGCATGGTTCACAAGATTTTTTTTGAGATTCTTTCAAGCGAAGGACGGACAGCTGGTGTATCGATCTGATCGTGTCTCGTATCGTTGCTGTAAAATTCAGATTAACTTTAGCGAACAGTTTCAGCGTCTGGTCAAGCGTCGACTATCGTTGTACTAGCTTAAGTCTTAATTCGCCTAAGATATTCGGATCAGTATCTTAATGCTGCGAAATCAATTACCAAAAATATTTGGCACTTTTACCAGGTCGAAAGGGAATCGACTAAGCGAATGGAATGTCGAGGAGTGAAAGGACTCAAGACCAAGTCAAACAGGTAAATGCAATTTTGAAAATAATTGGCGTGATTCCTCTTCTATTTTAATCATTTACGTGTCGTGTTAACTGAAAAAAAAAATGGGATTTAAAATTTCTTCGTCAATGGCTCTTGCATGTCTATCATTAACACGGTTTTCTCAGAAATTGATAAAACTCCCTTTGTCTCGGCACAAATCACATCTAAAGACTGACGCTTAGCAGTCAAAATATATCACTTTCTCTTCTCACCTTCAGTTTCTCTTTGCAATATAGTTGTCCGTAGTTGACTCTTGCGAACAAAACGGTGGAGCGACAGGATAATACTTCGTACGCTGCGAGTATGATGAATCGTGTATCGAACTACTCGTAAAAATTTCCCACTTCTGAGAAAGCTTCGTTACAGGCTTCCAAATGTATGAATAATTTATCAGATTGCTTGACCAAGCAAAGCCAACTTCATCTTGACTTGAGGCTATAGCCTCACGCGGCATGCAGTTAATGATCGTTAATGGCTGAGATAATAGACAAGTAGGAAGACCTGACTAATATATTCCGTTATATCTTTAAATAGCTTAGTTCTAAAGAGACTTTTGCCTTCAAATGGAAAGAAAACTTACTAGTAGTCGAGGAATGGATTGGGGGACGGGTGGAGGAAGAGGCAAGTGAAGGTAGTCCTCGCCCCACTCCACCCCCTTAAGCTTCCCACCCTCCGTTTTCGTAACCAATCGTTTTTATGTGGCACTATGCAAATCCCAAACCCTGAAATTGTATATACCACAGACCGTAACGAGACGATTTGTATGCATTCTCCTCGCGTTAAACAAACAACAAATTTTCTGGTCACTTCAAGTACGCACGTGCGTATATGCGTATAGGACGCTACGCGCCTGGGTTTATTATCTTAAACAACTTTGCCTCAGTGCCACTGGCAATATCAGTCATTCTTTAATCAGTTTCGAATTTTACAAGTTGACTCAGTTCTTTACGAACCCCACACTAAAGATTGATTCAATATTCCAATGCAGAGGGCTGCCCCGAACCCTTGGATTTCGCTTTCGTGGTGGACACTTCAGGCAGCATCAGCCGTAGTAACTTCAAAAAATTGAAGGTTTTTATC